AGTGTTCCAACATGAGATATGAGATTATTTTGCAGCTGAAATATTTTTAGATCTGTCTCTTTCAAACTTTTTCTCATGCCTGTGAAGTGGTCATTTCTAATTTGAGAACGTGAATCTGTATTTTACAGTGATCCACTACAGAAGTTTGCTGACACTTAAAGAATCGATATGTGGCAATTTGCAATTGGTATAAGGGTTGGTGGCATGAAACTGAAACAGTTCAGTTGGGAGTCCCTAAACAAAGTGTTGCCTGATACTGAGAGGTCTAACAGTTTGGTAATTTTGAGGTAAATTTGAGGAAGGCACATTACTAGTGCTACGACATGGGTTGATGCAGAAGCAATCTTGATTATCTGAAATATACCTGTTTTGATCAGCATACAGGCCAGCATAGACAGATTGAATTTTTTTTCAGGAGAAAACTAACTCGTGAGCCCTGACTCTTCATTAGCAGTTTTTCCTAGCTGGTAGCTAACCGGACAGGATCACCACCCTGCTTTTTCGCTGAGGAATGGGGCTGAAGAAAGGACGTCTGTGTAAAGATGGGGGGAATGCAAAAGCAATACCAGAGCTCCACTGGCAGTGGTGCACTCAATGCTCTTGCCCAAGGTTAAGTGGAAGTCAGGCTTTAATTCTTCCTCCTGTAGTTTAATAAGTTTCTCTGCAAGAAAAGCAACTGCAAACATAGATGTATTCAAGCAGTTGTGATAGAGGATTATTGGCTAAAACCAAAGAGACTCATCATTAAATAATACTGCCATATTATATAAATGTCTCTTTGTCCTTTCCTTCCTCCTCTCCCATGTGAAATGAGGGCAACATTACTTCTGTGCCTTTATTTCTCAGAAATCTGAGACTTAATTTGTTAATGCAAGTAAAATAATGTAAAACCTGTAGATAGAAGTTACTGACTGTGTACCAAGAACTAAAAATCTTGTGATGAAACGTACACTTGTTAAATATTAGTTGAATTTACTGAAAATATATATACATATATATGTATGTATTAATATAGTGTTAATTAGTTAATTTTATAGTCACTTTCCAGGGATAGTACTGTGATTTTCTTTTCTAGTAATCAAGCCTTTGAAGCACTCAAGCTTTAAACCTAACCAAATGCTGTAACCAAAACCTTTTGAAAGTAGTAAATTGCTGTTCATTGGCTTCACTGGGCTCTGATCAGGTCCCCCGAGAGCTGCATTTATCTAATCATCTGCCTTGTGCGTAGAATCACAACTGAGCAACAAATTGAAAATCTCCACTGCTAAGTGTGTTTAGTGATGAGATAAAACTCATAAAATCTGTTTGAAATCATGCAAGTTCATAATTTTTAGATGTGTTCTATGGCTATGTAAGACTCAGTATTGCTGAATTTTATTAATCTGTCTTTGAATTCCTTTTCTGCTACCAGGTAGGAAGTTGCATCAATATTTAAGAAATAACAACAAGGCACATAAATTGGATCTCTAAGTTGAAGTAAAGGACTTCAGTGTTAGTCAGGAAATTGTTAAGCTGAAAGACTCCCAGGTCCACCACTGCTTATAATTTGGGCAGGGAAACTGAGTTTTCAGAACACCAGCTCTGCCTCATCCCAGACTGACCAGTCCCTGGCAGGTATAAAAAGCTTTTCTGCTGCTTCAGCGGGTTACCTAGCTATGTCAGTGAAAGATCATTAAGCTTGATATGTTTTAAATTAAAAAAGAAGAGCAATTATTGATGAATTTTTCACCTGAGAAAATGTCACAGCCTTCTACTTAATAATATTTCTGCCCTTCAGCCTCAGCACTTGAAGTGTAGGAGGTGCTGTTAGTACTGTACTGTAGTGTGGCTTAGCAGCCGAAAGGGATGAGCCATGAAAAGGATTCTGCTTCAGCCTTGCAAGATTCCTTGTTTGTTTTTACTTAATATAAGCTAAAAGCTATCAGAGCGGAAATAGAGGAGAATAAAGAATATAAATCAACAAATTCAGAAGAACAGTTTATCTTTAAAAAAAAAAGTAAAAAGCCAAACACAACCTTTTGTCTTCCTAAAGCTTTGCAAAATTAAGTACATTCAGTTATATACACACAGAAGCACAACACAACTGCAGAAGTAACCTGTTTGCTAGTACAAAACTTGCCAATGTAAAGAAATGGCACTGCACTAGTCATTTTAATGGATTTGTATAAATGTGATCACACAGATACGTTACAGTAAATTCTAAGTTTGGAAATTTTAAAATAAAAAAAATTGTGAGCCAAAATCAGGAGCCAAAATCATGGAACCACTCCATTATAGATTTGCAACATTTAGACAGAACTTGTTTCATGGAGGATGTTAAATGCAATATTTCATGTTAAAATAGAAGGAAATTCATATTTAATTTGCATGTCTTTTTGTGTGTATATGTGTAAGAGAGAGACAAGACAGGCAGAATGAAAATGGAGAGCTGGGCAGAAGAGAATATCCTCACTTTCAAGTTGTGAAAAAAAATTGGTGATGATTTTTCAGAAAGTTTTCAAGCACAGACACCTGGGCAATCATAAAAAGAATTTGAGTCCCCTGAAGAAAGCCCTCTCTTCTTCATTCTTCTGCCCTTTTCAATCCATCCCAGTAGTTATCTGCAAGTTGCAGATGTTTGCAGGTGTGTCTAGCCTTGATCTCTCTTACTGAAAGAATAATATAGTTGCACAGCAAGGGTAAGATGGCATGTCCTATGAGAGTCAGTTTCTGACATGGATAATACTAAGTTTAGTACTTGTTACAGTACTGTAATTTCTACTAAGATTGTTTTGTTTTGTATAGCACATTGATTTCTCTGTTAGGTGAACTGATGATCCATGAAAGGAAAAGAAATAAAGCTGTGTTTGAAGGTGAGATAAAAACCCCTCAGTATTCATTTCACCAAGCATCTGCTAGTCAATCAAAGTATTTAACTAAAGAGGAGCTTTGTGAAAATTTTTACAGTTCTTGATTCTCTGAATGTGTAGAGTGAAGTTGTGTCTCAAATGCATAAGGTTTCGTTTGAAAGATATTTTACAAGCTATTTGAATGAATATCTTTTTCAAAGACCTTCCACTTTATAACATGGCTGATAAGCATATGTGACTAAATTTCATGAAGTTTTACTGATAAGTTTTGCTCTTTTTGTTAAATAGTCAGACTCTTATGATCTTTCTGGAAACTTGGAAAACTTGATTTTAAGCAAATCCCTGACTGCTCTGTTGCCTTAAGTTACAACACCCAGTGCCTTAGAGATGCTGTTTGCTCCACTATGTGGTTTGTGAGACCACAAAAACTTCTGCTGGGTCAATCTGGGTGTATCATAGGGAAGTAACAAAGAAAGCAAATCTGAATGACTTTTTACATAGTTGTCTATACAGCAAATTATGGAGCAAATTAACTAACTTAGAGCTGAAATTTCCATCTTTAAGACTCAGCTTTCTTTGGATTGGGTGTTTAAAGTGGAAAATAAAATGCCTGTTAGAATTCATAGTGCCTTACATCATTAAGCTTAGTACAAACATTGATTAATTAATACTAAGTAGTTCATTATCACTGCTTGGGTGCGCACTCATTTTGAACAAACTGTTCATCCTATCCAAGATAGCCTGTGGCAATAGATAAACCACCAAAGCTTCAGCACCATGTTCCATCCAGAGCTGTAAAAACCACCATGTTATTACTGTAAGTTTCAAAAGTATAGTAGATATATTATGAGTGAAAAGATCACTGAAAGATGGCTATGAATCCAACTAATTTTATTTGAGAATACCAAAGTAATAATTAGAGTGATTTTTTTTATTATTTCTGTATGAAATAATTCTTTAAACTTTAGAAAAATGTACCTTAAAACTGTTTTTTTTATACTTTTCTTTATGACTTGAAGACATTTTTCACCTAGAGATATTAAATGTCCAAGACATTCAGAAACATTTAAAAAGTTTCAGGAACAGTTCAGTGTGATGTGTTGCCAACCTCTGTACCTTCAGTTACTGGCTACTAGCAGTCCAGGTACTGGGTTAGGTCCAGAGGAGCAGTAAGCTCTATAGCTGTGTGCTATGGAGCCAAGGTCAGTTCTTGCTCCTGATTATGAGCTCTGAAAGATCTCATAACCCCCAGGCTCTTATTTCCTCATTCTCAAAAATTGTATGTCATAGGCTTATCTCTTCCCTGCTTTTTGTCAGCGTTTTGTAATACCTTACACAAATCTGGAACTCTGAGATTGTAAGTTTTAAATTTATAACCATCCTCACTGGGGGGGATTAGCAAAAATAAATAAATAGAGCTAAAAATAATTTGAAACAAAGGGCTACCTCAGTGTTTCAATAGCAGCTCATTCCATTGTCTCATGAAGCTTTTCAGCTCGCTCTTGGTTATATGAATAATAGGATGTTCTGAACCGGTAGGCAAGGAACGCATTGTATTACTTTCTCTGCACAGGTCACAGAAGGGCAATACAGGGAGTTGCATCTAGTTTTTCTCACCTGAAAGAAAAATACTGTGTAACATGGCCAAGAGAATGGTATTTGGAAACATTTTCCTAAAAGATAATGTCTGATTCATTTCTAAATGAAAAATGAATCGTAATATAATAAGAGTTTATCTTACTAACTAATCAGCTTATACTATATAGTGGGCTAAAATAAAAATACAAAACTGGTACAATCTCATCGTCCTTAGCATTCAATCTTATTTTATTACTGAAACCCTGACGCTACCACTTTTGCTGACATTGAACATCAGGAACTCCAGTGTTTTTTGCATAATCACAGTACATAACGATCCTTTAAGCCGCGGATTACTGTAAGATAAAAACACCTGGTTCTGTATTATATTTTATGCTGGCTGGGTGGCTGGTTGTTGTGCAGCTTTGGTTAGCCTTCGTTGCGTAACTGCTCCCTGTGCTGGTGAAACGTAAAGGTCAATCTGAAATCAAGCAATGCTTTGCTTAGGAGTGAGCCACAGATACAAGCACACCTCTTGTGATTATTTCCTAGTTGTTTTCCACTCATTTTCAGGGTTCCTTGGAGACGTTTATTCTCCCAGAACAGTTTTATGAAGTATTTCGGTCGATTGCATTGTAAAAGTCTTTGTGGTAATTGTACCTGTGGATAGCAGCAGCAATGATGTATGAATTTAGTGGTCCCTTCTGTATGGTAATTCTAGATTATTGAAAAGGAATCTAGCAGAGAAAGAAGGCTATTACATGAATTTAAAAAGATAAGAGAAATTGGGATGTTTTTGCCAGATACGGTACGGATATGGTGAATACCATCACATGCTAAGCAAAAATACATGCAGCCTGGGTAAAACTGAATATTTATAGCACTTAGTAGTCACATTTATTGTAAGATTGAAAATGTGTAAGACATAAATCACATTGTGGTATGCAGGGAATTAGTTGTAAAGACTATTTCATGCAATTTATGAGCACCAGTTAAATGGTTTTTGCCAGCTCCTCTCTCAAATGATAATCAAGCCTAATGTCTGTAAGTTTATCTTGGAATAAAGAATTTTAAAATTGGGAATTCTCATACCACCCTCAATCCTACACTACTCTTCCTTTAGTGTGTTTTAGTTACAGTTAATTATTTGTATTCTCAGATGAGCAATTTGTAAACAAGTATTTTCACAGATAAACTTGAAACAAAGGGAATTTATAAACCTGGATCATTTGGTGGATACATGAACCAATCTCTGAAATCTAATGTAATCCATATGCTCTGTGCAAGTCTAGCAAAAACTAAACTTGTGGTTCTGAAATGTTCTGTGGCCGTTTAAGCTGTTATTATTGTTGATGGCATGAACTTTTACCAAGATGAAGGTGTCTGTTGTGTGGCAGGAGGCCAGTGCTAGTGGTGATGGAAGTGGCCTGGAAGTCAGTGCTGTGGTGCTGTCCTAGTGGCATGTCTATCCCGTGCACCACATGGGGCAACACTGCGGAGGGCTGAAACAGGGAGTTAATTGTGGAGACATTTCTGCCTCTAGTCTTTTAGAAAGTGTAATGAGTCCATGAGGAACTGTTGACTGGTTTCAGTGGCTTTCCAAAGCAAGATTAGTTGAACAGATCATGTTCTCAAGCAGAGCAAGAGGTCATGCACTGGGTTCAGGCTTTCTCAACTTCAGTTTCAGTTCTTTTATTGCACTAGAATAAAGTTCTTTGACAATTTAACATTTAGCAGTTATCATAATTTTCTTAAAATCTGTGAAGCATATAGTACCATCCCCTGGAAATCTGCTGTCCAGGTAGATGTATATTTTATGCAACAGGTGGGTTTGCTCACCATTTCTATAATGGATTGTAAAGTTATGAGTCTGTCTCTTTACCATCTGTATCAGGCACTGTTAGCAGCATTCTAGCAGTATCAGAGGGAGCCTTTAGATACTTCTGGAGCAAAATGGTGAAATGTAGTACCCATTTTATACTATGCAAGTTTCAGCTACTCTCCAGACTTCTTAGCTAACTCTGAAAGAAGATAGAATATGAGGTTGTAAAGATGCATGAAAGTTCAATTCAGGTTGTAAAAGTGGATGAAGGTTTTGATGTTATCTAATTTTTGTTTCTATTTTTGCTTCAGTGCTTTTTTTCTCTTCCTGTAATTTCATTCCAGGACTGTAATGGTATGAGTACATTTGCAAAGAGCTGCTTACATTTAATACGTTATCTCTTAGATATTTGGGTTTCCATTTGGATAGAAGCCTTAAAAAAATATTGCATTGCTAAAGCAATTCTGATTGGCACCAGACATCAGTTTTAGTTGTATAAACCCACTAATTGGTTTTGACAATTTGACAAGTCTACTGAGTACCACACATGCACACCTTTCAGATATGCCATGAAGAAGCCATAGTGCTATTTTTGTCCTAGATGGGTATTCTTGAGAAGGAAGGCACATAATGAAATGCATTAATTACTTTGTTTTCTCTACTGTCTGTGAATATATTGAATGAGTTAAATCAATGAGTTTTCTTAGCATTAACAAAATGTTTAAACATTAAGGGGAAGTTGGTGGCATGATTGAGACCCTTTTTCTAAGCCTCTGTTACCACAGCACATCAACCATTCTGTTTCTTCCTTTTTTTAAAGGTTTTACTGGGACTTAATCATGCTCATAATGATGGTCGGAAACCTTGTCATTATACCGGTTGGAATCACATTCTTCACAGAACAAACAACAACGCCATGGATTATTTTCAATGTGGCATCAGACACTGTTTTTCTATTGGACTTGATCATGAATTTTAGAACTGGGACTGTAAATGAAGACAGCTCTGAAATAATACTGGACCCTAAAATCATTAAGATGAATTACTTAAAAAGCTGGTTTGTGGTTGACTTCATCTCATCAATACCAGTGGATTATATCTTTCTCATTGTAGAAAAAGGAATGGATTCAGAGGTTTACAAGACAGCAAGAGCACTTCGTATTGTGAGATTTACAAAAATCCTCAGCCTGTTACGTTTATTACGCCTCTCAAGACTGATTAGATACATACACCAGTGGGAAGAGGTAAGATTTATATGGTTATAACATAATTTGCTAAGATCTTATTCCTACAAAAAAACTAGTCAGGTCTCTCCAAAAAGAGCTACACAAGAACCAGAATGGAATAAAGAGTTATCACTCACCAGTAAGTGTAGTTACATACAGATGCTAGTAGAAAAGCTTTTTTGGAAAAAAAAAAGCACAGAGTAACTATCGTCTTTCTGCTAACAACAAAGACCAAAAATACATTTGGGATGATCAACGCAATAAGCAGAGATGGGTTGCTATTGAGAATATTAGAAATTTTAGCAACCACTTGAATCTACATTTGAGTTTGGTGACTAGCACTTGAAATTATGAAGTCAATACTCTTGTAATCACAGAGAAATTAAAATACACAATCATATTTTTCTATTTCAGGAGAAATTTAAACCATTTATAACTGAGTAGATTTCCTAGAATGCTCGTTGTTTGAAGGTTGTACGTAAGCTGAATATATCGAATACTGACCTTCTTTATAAAAAATGCGTAGTTCAAATTTTGAGTCATTGCCTTCTAAACTGTCAAGTCCACTATTTCCAGATGTGACCTATACTGCCTACTAATTTGGCATGGTGACATTTCCAGTAAATTATGGCATTCCCTAATTTGGCATGCTTATGGCTAGGAAGTGTTTTGTGCTTTGGCACATACCACCACGATTCAGTCATTTAATTTCTTGCTTGTCCCAATTTCTGTAGTTATAAATATCATAATATATTTTAAAAGGAAGTGCTAAAAACATGAGAAAAATAACTGCTGTTTTCTAAGCCGTTTTTGCAGCAAGTGTAATGAGAATTATTTTGTAAAGTATTTTCATAGAATCACTATTAAAATAGATTTGCATAAATTTAGCTACCTACTTTGATAAAGATTTATTTAATTAAATGAATATTGAAGGATGACATGATACCATTTCTGGTGCTTTTTCTGCTGTTTATCTACAGTATTATATTCACCTTCTGGTTTAACAAAAACCTGAATGCAAAGCCATCTCACAAATAAAATCAGATTATATTTGAAAATGACATGATGCTGGATGATACTAAGTATAAAAGTCTAATAGATTTATAGTTGTTTCTCAAAAAGCTCCTGAAATAGGTCATTATTTTCTATTACTGTATTTTGTAAATTCTACCTCTTTTTTGCCTCCCTGTAAGGCAGAGTAGCTATGTTTTTGACACAGAAATAGAGCACTGCAGTTTTGTACTCAGTTTAACTAAGGCAAATGATTAAGCATATTTTGCAGTTCTACCATAAAGCTGTGCTTTTGTCTCATCTGTGCTTTACAGAGAGACAACCTTCTGAAATGCGTTCAATGACATTACTTTCTGGCAGCCTGAGTTAATAGCTTGCCACTCTAAAGCCCTACTAAGCACAGGAATGAATACCTTTCCCCCCTCCCCCCCCTTCTGTCTGTTGTCAAAGATAAACCAGATATTCTAAATGAAAAATAACTGAATTGGCCACTAAGTGGGACTAGAAGTTACCAGAGGTTGTTGTCCAAACCAGCAGTAGCTGGTGTTTGGTCCATTTAATATTTTGCTAATGGCTGCTTGATTGCAACCTCACCTTTAGTTCCTCTAGTAAAATTTGTGAAATATTTACTGTATGATACTTTATTTGGCAAGCATTGAAAAATAAGTGGAGTCCATCTTTTTGTGTATGATAACACACTATAGTGCTCCCTGGATGTTCTCAGGAAGGTGAAAGAGGGTCTGAATTTTTTTTTCTTTTTTGGCGGCGGGAGGTTGATCCTGCAATAAAGCAGCAAGAAGCTCTTTGTCTGCTTTTAAAAAACATTTCTGATGACTGTGAGAACATGTGGGAACAGTGATAAATATGTAGACTGAATCAGGTTCTGATAAATCCCCAAATTAAATGCATGCAAGGAAAAAAGTGTTCTTTTTTGTTTGCTTGTTTAGCATTTTACAGATACCAGAAATGAAGGCGGTCATGGATTTCATATTTGGCTTTTGTTATCACGGTAGTTGATTCTTACTTTGGATTATTACTTTGAATGTAGCTGGTGTGCCTGTTCTGCGTGGTGATCCATTACCACTTTGGAGAATTTGTGTGATGTAGCTTTTTAATGTTTTAAAACTAAAAAACTGGGTAGGGATGATCTTTGTTAATCTTTTCTGTATTGTGTGCGTTTGCACATGCACAACAGGGAGCAACTGTTAACTAATTTTTATGACACATAACTGGAGCCTGTTCATGTGTGGTTAAAAGGATTTAATAGTTTTTGCGTATGACATGTTGATTTTAACTGTGGTGCAGATAAATGTGAAATAGTATGTATTTGGATCCAGAATAATGAGCATTATGTCTAAAGTATTGAGAGGACAGCCAGCAAACTCATTCTCCATATCCTGCCAAGAGGATACTTCATGGAAAACATTGATGCACAAACCAGGTTGCATAATAAGGCTCTTAATCCCATTGAGTTATTTATACATCCTCCAACAGAAAGGGCAGGTTGAAATTATTTGAGCTTTTCCTTTTTCAGTATCACAAAATTGAACATTCGTTGGTCAGTATCCTGAACTTTAAGATAAGTAGGCAAAAATTGAAGAGATTTTTTATTATACTGGTTCCTTTTCTTGATTTACTTCCGTATCATTTAAATAACTTAAAACAAAATCAAGCTGCTAACAGACACAAAGAATAATATTGAGGTATATAATGTATGCATTGCAGAAGCTTTCTCCTTAACTGTTATGAGGGAACAGAGCCTGTGGTGCAATATATATTAAATCTGATGGATATATTCATGTCAGTCTGATGTTACTAGCTTATCCAAATGAATGACTCAGTGGAAATGGGAAGAAACACTTCAACAAAGGCACAGGAGATATGGCTGGCAGGATTTAATTTATTGAATTTGCAAATTCACACTGTCCCAAACCTGCTTTTTAGCTACAATATCTAATATTCCAGTTCTTTACAACTCAGATGTTGACAAATAGATCATGTACTTATTTAAACAAAATGATGCACTATAACATGCAAGAAAAAACTTTGTTATTTAAGTTGATGATTGCAGTTTGTTTTGGATTTTCTTATCTTTTTTTTTTTTTTTTTTAACATAGGTTTCTAAAATAACGAACAGGATCTTCTGGACCTAGTTCTTATTTACTTTAACTTATTTTATGAGACTGCTTAAGCTGCTGATCCCTGAATGTTTTGCATAGGTTTGCATGCAACTAGTACGTTATTCTTAGTTAATATACTCATAGATAACTGAACAATTAAAAATAAAATATATGAAGAATTAGGAATAAATACATTGTTACATGTCAAATGATATGCCACTTAGCTTTACATTTGTCTATGACATAAATTTAAATTTTATCTTTTCCAAAAGCTGCTTAAACCCCAGAGTATAATAGCTTTGCTTACAGCTATTCTAATCACAGGACAAGACCTAGTAGATGTATGAGTAAATAGGAGTGGTACTTCTAAAACTCTACCTTGGATCTTTCTTGTTCTGAGATGTCCAATTATGTAGAATTAGAACCAGTTTTGAAGTGACTGAATGCTTATTGCAAGATGTGCACTAAAGGTTATGTTTTGGAAAAAATCTAGCGAAATATGTGATAATTGTAAGTTGCAGCCATGTCTTATTTTGGTTTGACTCGTACTGAAATCTGCTTTCCAATTTGTCAAACCTTTTCAAGGGTCATGAAGCCAGACAAGTGTTGCTGTCCCTTCTGGCTGTTTGCTAAAGCTCAGGTGTTTAATGAAACATATTTCTGAGCGTACCATACAGACGTGTTTTATTCTATTTTTTACTGTTTTATTTCTAGTAATCACAGTAGTGCTGATCCAGAAAAGCTCATAAATGCAAGATTTCTTGAATGCTAAGTCTTACTAAAGTGCTTAAAAATTAAGTAAGAGTATAGCAGCTTTGCAAAATCAGGTCCTGCATTAACAGTTTCATCTGTTGCTTCCACACTAGCAACCCTAATTATCACAGATCACCACTAGGTGTCCTCTCCTTGTTGTTCTCCTTGTTGTCTACACTACAAAGAAACATACTATAGGTATACGATGTTGAGTCATTTTTTTTGCCTAAATAAAAATATTGTAAAAGAGCACTTGTGTTATCCGGACAACAGAAGACAACTCTTCAGGAGCCTGCTGTTTCTGTGGTAGGTATTTCATGTATGTAGAGACTTTTGTCCCCTACAGAAAATCAAACCATTTTTCTTTCCCCTACAGCCTGGTGAAAAGTCAAGGTTTTTTATCTCTCCTATTGATCACTGGCTAGGGAATTGTGTAGGAAGAGAGAACCGATGAGTTAGGTGGGTGAGCTGGTAGTGTTGGATGAAAACACATAACTTTATTGATTGGAATTTTTTTTAAATTTTATTTTATTTTAACAGGGCTGTGTCTACAAGATGTGGAGTTTTCCTGTCAATGATGGTATTATTAAGTTTAACTTACTGTTTTAAGTAATGATCCCATGGAAATGGGAGGTGACATAGTATTTTTTTTCTTTCTTTTTATTTGGTTTTAATTCCTATCCTCCAAGGAGATAATTTAAAATATATTTTCTAGGCCCTATAAAGTTGTGTCATTAAGTGAAGTACTGCAAATAAGCACACCAGTATAGGTTGACTGGCATCTTTAAACTAAATTAGCTTAAAGTAAGACGCACTTTTTCATTGCCTATTACAGATGCATCAATCAAATAATAGTTGTTTAACTCATGGGGAATGAGGGGAGGAAATTTGTTAAATAACTCCAGGGTAAAGAAGCCATAGGAGAGCCCCACCTTCTCTTACTGGCACAAAGTCTGTGAATGATGCAACAAAGCCTCTGTATTTGTGTCTTCTGCTTTCCTACGATTAAGAAGACTGAAGTAAGAGAAAATGTTTATTTCTACAGGAAAATACATACAATCAAGTTTTGCGTTCTTTTGGAAAGCTGGTGCTTGAAAATGCCCCTTATGAATAAATTAGTGAATTTATGTCCTC